ATCCAGGATTTTCTTTGTCACTACTAGTTGTAAAACTGATATTCCCCAACGGGCTCTCAGAAAATGTACTGGTTAGTTTATTAATTAATTTGTATATTCATATTCCCAAAAGCTGATATCAGGGATGGCTTTAGTCAAGGACACTTAAATAATCAAAACTGGCAGACACACCTTGATTTTAATAGGTACCCAAACCTCTTTTCACTAAGAGGCGTAACTGAATTTTTAAGGGAAAAAAGGATCATTCAGTCTCCTCCTGTAGAAAATACAGTGTTGTCTCCTGCAGAGAGAGACACAAGTGTCACACATCTAGCCCACTGACCACTAGAGCCCCTGAGCTCAGGCTTTAGATCTCTCTCTTTCTATTAAATTGTAAAGAGCGTTCATCTGTTTCTGTGTTTGACTTTAATATTGTTGATGACTCCATTTCTACTTTTTGCAAGGTTATCTTCACTTGTAATTCTGTAGTGAGTTAACTTGTTGAAAACCATACTTCTGATGCTATATAGTCTAAATTTTGCCTCTATTGTTCCTTACCTCAGTAAACCATGTTGCTTAAGCAAGACATGTCATATTCAACCCTTCAGCAAATGCTAGTGGTTACTCTTACAGGCATATCCAACCTTTTGACATTGAGATACAATGCTGTCTACAGTCATGTTCAAGTACCACACAGTTGAGTTTTCAAAAATAGATAATGAAGAAATCCCAGGATGTTTTAAGTACGCTTAGCACTTGGGTTGGGTCACATACGTAGCTATCCTTGGCAGTGCGCAGTCCACAGGCTGTCAGTAAGTTGTCTGTCAAGTAAGTCTGTCTTCAGACTGTCCACATCATTTTCTCTAGTATGGCTGTTCTGGTTCAAGTCCTTGTCTTCTCTTGGGGTGGCTGGAAGGATTTCCTAATGGATTGCATGTTTTTGCCCCTCCCTTATCTAATACAGGTTTCTGCCAAAATGTAATGTCTTCTCATTATCAAGTTCCAGTGTAAGCTGGCCCTTGACCCCCTCTGCACACTATTGTCTGTGAGGGCCCTTGCCTCTTGCTCCCCTTGGTCCCTGGGCCAGTTTTCCCTAGTCAGTCATGGCATGGTCTGCTGCAGAGTTTGTGCTGTTGTTCCTCTGCTTTAGATTCCACTTCTCCTGGTCCTACGTAGGCTGTCCCTTCCCTTTCTTTGGATCTGTGCTCACATGGCATTTCCTCATCAAGGTCCTCTTGTTTATTATTCCTCATGCTCAAAGCAGCATCCTCCTAGAATCTCCAGCTTGCTATGCTTTTCCTCCATACAGCTTAGCACTGACTGCTATTATATTTGAACTATATTTGTTATTATCTACATCCACATTCAAATGCAACCTCCACGAGGATAGCGAAAACCAAGGCATTGCTTCTTTGTTCACTGATGTAGTTGAGTCCTCAGAACAGTGCCTAGCTCATTTAATACACTGGATATATATGTGTGGGCTGAATGAGTAAGTATGTGAAAAGCCTAATGGCGTACTCAAGAGCAGAAATCACTGCTACTATCTCCATGTGCAGTTTGTGTGATCTCTGCACACGTCCCTCTGCTCTGTAACACTCTGACTTTTGAATCTTCTCCAGTATCAGTTGCCTCTTGCACCTATTCCCCTAAGTTTCATTTTTCTTCTCTTCCACAAAAACAGCCTTTTGAAATGAATTTTATAGCATAGCATGGTTCATATACTGGAGAGCAGCTTGTGTTCAGAGAGGGTGATTCTTTCATGGTAATGATGGTGATAGCAGAAAATACAGAGAAAGAAATGAGAAAGTTGGGCAAATTTAGTTCCAAAGTTCTGAAGCTTGAAGGTAAATGCCCTTATGAAATCATTGCAGACTGGGAAAGTGTCAAAAGATTGTCCTTCTTCTGATTAGAATGCACCTGGAGTGCTGATGCCATGGCTCACTGGGTAAAAGCTCTGGCCACAGAAGCCTATTGGCTCCAGTCTGATTCTTGGAATCCAGGGCAGAGGAAGAGAACCAGCTCCCAAGAGTTGTCCTCTAAAGGCCAAGCCTGCCCCATGGGATGTGCGTCATAGGACATGAACACACACGTCATGTCCACACAGCATTAGTAAATAAAAGTCAAACCTCAGGCCCCTGGAGGCCAGTGTTTCATGTCCAATTCTGAGTCCAGCATGGGTGCTAAGTTTTTATTAAGACAAAACAATGACTTCAGAGATGGTAAGCAGTATGCTGAGAACTCATAGAATGGTTGGATAGCAGTAATCATCGCAAACACTGTGCCAGGCGTTATTACAAATTTTGTTAATAAAGTTGCTTAACCCTCATCCTTGAGGAAGATAGTATCATGTCTTCTTTGAGATGAGGAAGTGAAGACACAGAGATATTAAGTAACTCAGAGTCACACAACTGGCCACCATTGCTTTCAGCATCCTGCTCTAACCGTTGTGCTGTTCTTTTGATGCACGCAGCCGTGCAACTGGAGAAAACTGAGGCTGAGGTTGAAGCTCTAAGAAGGCAGCTGTGGCTTTAACCTCCAGTCCTAGACTTACCCCTTAGTCAGTTGCCCACGTATATTCAAACTGCATAATAGGTTTGGTGCCGCAACTTTATTACACTTGCTCATATCACTTCTATTGGCTGTTTAACTACTTTTAAGGATTGTATTTGGTTCATTTTTGAGCTACTAAATTTAGTTGCAGGCATGTCATGTAACCAACATTCATGTTTTGTTAAATAGATAAAAGAATGTCCTTTCATGTGTTTAAATCAACTGGAGCTGTCCCAGTTAAGGTAGCCATCAGAGACGTAGTGAGCCTCTGGTCACTGGTGGTACTCAGTTTTATGTTGCATGTATTTTGTTTTGTTCATTTTGGTTTCTTAGAAATAGGGTCGGGCATCAAGCAGTCCAAACTGGCCTTCAATTAACTGTATAGCCAAGGATGTCCTTGAACTTCTGATTCTCCTGTTTCTACCTTGCACACACTGATTGCAGGCTTGCACCACCATGCCTAGTTTATTCCATGCCTGATAAAGAACTCAGAACTTTTGGGCTGGTAAGATAGTTCAACTAGTAAAGGTTTCTCCCAAAAGCCTACAGAGCATCTTTGGTTTCTGTGACCCATATGATGGAGGAAGGACAGCACTCAGATCTACAAGTTCTTCTCTGGTCTTCACTTGCAGGCTGTGGCAGTGCGTACAACTAGCATGTGAATATACATAGGCATCACAAAATAAATAAAATTAATTAAAAGAATTTCAGTACCTCAGGCCTTCCTGCCTACTAGGCAAGTACACTGCCAGCTGAGCTCCCTCCCCAGCCAAGGTGTATGGTTACGGACAGATCGCAGCGGTCCCTGTACCATGTGAAAATGGAAGGTTCGGTTAAGTTTCCTCTAAGTGGGATTATCTCCTATGATGATGAGTTAGGTATAAGTTTTCTCCACATGTTTCCTGAGTGCTTGCTGTGTGCCTAGCACTGGAGGTACGAAGATAAATGTGGCCAAGACAGTGTCATCAGTCACCAGCCGTCCGTGTCTAAGAGAAGGCATGCTTAGCAAAATAGGTATAAATTTTTTATTAAGAAAAATAAATAGAAGAGGACATAATTTAGTGATGTCTTGAACAGACTTGAAAGGAAAGAAACAGATAGGAAAATTGGGCCTCACGTCATGTCTTTCTGAATGTCTGAGAAGGGAAAATTCGGGGAGCAAAGACCACGTGCTGTTAAATTCCCATAGAAATAGTGAATCGTTTGTTATCAAGATATGTAGTAAGGACGAATTAATTCAGTGGAGGTTAATTCAATTCTGAAGTATTTTGTAACTCTTGGAACAGCTATGCCTTCTTTTCTTTCCCAGACTCCTAAAGATGAGTATTCTTCCCATGCGCTGCTGTGGCTCTGCAGAGCAGTCTATAAGTCTGGGACAGAGATTCCAGTAGGAGGCAACTGTGGTCCCCCCCTCCCCTAAGGACTCTGGTCCCCCGCGCTGCTCATCTTTCACACATGTCCAAATTTGTCTTAACAGAGAATCTCGTCACTAGCTGGGACATGATGCCTAGGTGGGCGGGGGATTCCCCGTGTTGTTTAAGTCATGGTTGTCTTTGAGCTTGGCTGGCGTGTTGGTGATTAGTTTACTAACAATTGGTTTTTTTCTTCTTATGCCATATGCTATTCCATGATTCATCAGCTTTGAGTCTGTTGCCTTGAAGGTGAAACAATTTCTTCCAATGTTGATATTTCAAAATCCCATAGATAACAAGCACACACACATATGCAGAGTCCTTTCAGAAGTTTTCAGCATTTGGAGATGAATGAATTACGCTGCTCCAGATGGAAAGGAGTGCTGTAAAATTCCTACGGTTCATCCAGCCTCCTTCTCTCAACAGCTGCTGGACACTGGCCCTGGAAGGCCAAAGGCTTTGCTAGCTTTGTTTTCCCTTGTGAAATTATTGATGGTGTCTATTACATATGACTTTAAATTTTTTAGCATTTTACCTAATTGCCTTATTTTATATTTCTTTTAATGATTTTAGTTAAAATTTTCGTTTGGGGCAGTGAATTGGGCTTAAGTTCCAACTTTGCTGTTTATACTGCAGTCGTGACTTTATGGAGTCAGTGAGCAGTGCTGGGGGTCCAACCTCCAGAAACAGTCTAAGCTTTGATGTAAACACGAACCTTTCGGTGTTTGAATGCAACAGTCTTCATTTCCTGAGTACACAGCAGAGCCGTTCTTTCTGCATGGCCATTTCGTAAGCATTTAGAAGATCGGGTGTCTGATAAACGCAGACCACATTGCATTTCTGCAGACACTTTCCTCAGGCACCGAGTGCACCGCAGCACTTAGCTGCCCCCGTCTCTTCCTCACAATGCCTCCACTGATTTTCTGGGACGGAAAACTGTAATTTCATGGCTTGAATGCTTGTGAAAATATGTGAGTTGTATGATTAGAAAGATATTTTTAAGAGATTCTAATTTTCAGCATATCTTCTTCTCTCCCCACCCTTACCTGGTTTTAGCTCCTCTTTGGTTCAGGTGTGCTGGTGTCCCTAAGCCTTTCCGGGCCTCAGCTGGAGAGAGTGGTGATTGACAGAAGCCTGGTGGGGAAGCTCATCTCAGACACCATCAGTGATGGTAATTACAACCGTGTGCAAATCAATTGCCTACATTAACAGTGGGGCAGGAGACATACTTTGTCAACAGGTAGACTAATTATTACCACCGGGGACTTGCAAACACAATAAGTAATTGCTTGTAATAGCATACTTACAACCCCTGGGACCAATAGCAGGTTCAGCTAACATTTACTGTCCGTGCACTTCTTGTTAAGTGTTAGGCTCCGAGTCTAAGTACTTTCCAATCTCTTCTTTACATTTTTAAATATAATTTTAAAGTCAGCTTTTCTCATTCATTAAAACAGTTTCTCTGCTATTGACAATTCAAATTTTCCAAATGAATTATGCACGAATAACAGAAATATGCCAAGGTAGGCACTGGTGAAATATCCTGAGTACTTTGCTTCCTATATGAGGCTGTGTTGTTATTTGTTAATGAATATTAACTTCTGCGTAACGCGGAGTTATACTTCTAAACAGCACAAGTCAACACCCGATGTAGTAGGGAAGTGCATGGTTGGTATGAAGCACATTCAGAAGATTGTAAGCCATTTATTGAGTAGGAAGTTTACTAATATTTATTGAGCCATAAAGGTTCCATGGTGGGTGCCAAAGGGACTATATAAGATATGGTTATTCTCATTCTAGTGGATAAGTAGATATCTAAAATATAAAGTGAATATGAGCTACTCGGGATAACTGTCAGTCTTAAGTGGTGAGGAAGTAGCTGAGCTGAGATTCGAACACAAGTGTGACCTATGCTGAGTCTGGATTTTAAGATTCTGTTCCTTGCCGGGTGGTGGTGGCGCACGCCTTTCATCCCAGCACAACAGTATCTTAAATTGAATAACAAAGGGAGATGTGGTCTAGTTGAGGCCAGAGGTGAGAGGGAAAGGCCCCTTTCTGCTGTATGCACCACTCAGCGCTTCTGAGGACAGTCTGGCATAACTGCAAACTTTAAAGAGAACACTCTGCAGGATGGCTACCATTAGCAGCACCACCAATAACAACAGCTGGAGGTAGGATTGTGGGCATGCCACTTCCTCCACCATGGGGGGGTGTGATGCCAAGGGGCTTCTCTGTGAAGATGTTTTGTTGTGTTCTCATTAAACTCTTCCATTGCTTTGCAGATAGCACTGACTGTGGCGGTTTCTCAAATTCATATTCTTCTGTTAGATTGAACAGGGAACTTTCAATACTCTTCTGTCTGAGTTGCTTTTTTTTTTTCATGCATTTCTTTCATTTGTACCCAAATTGCAGATTCTAATGGGACTTGATAGCAATGTGATTTCTTGGCAGCTCTCCTGAGTCTCTGGTGCTTGTGCAGACCTCCTGCTGGGTCACTGCATGTGCAACCAGAGGTGGGTAGGCAAAGTGTGGACTTTAGTGATTCACTCCTTCCTTCCTTCCTTCCTTCCTTCCTTCCTTCCTTCCTTCCTTCCTTCCTTCCTTCCTTCCTTCCTTCCTC